AGATATATATATATATATATATATATATATATATATACGTGACAGAAAAAATGCAAGCGGTATGTGTTCAATCGACGTTTGTCGTTTTGCGCTTGGAATGGGGTTAAGAGATTCTCTACTATTGATGATCGCTGATTGATTCAATCAAATCGATTATATTTATAAGTTTTACAATAGTAAACAATCAATACGTCTTTTCCAACCTCGTTGCTAGAGCCCTTTGTCCTGATTTAGCGAAAGCATTTTTATAACATAACTTATGTAACAGTAATATTTGTGTGCTATTGTGCGCTATATGTGTATATGTGTGCTATTGTGCGCTATATGTGTATAATATGTGTGCTATTGTGCGCTATATGTGTATAATATGCGTGCTATTGTGCGCTATATGTGTATAATATGTCTGCTATTGTGCGCTATATGTGTATAATATGTTTGCTATTGTGCGCTATATGTATATAATATGTGTGCTATTGTGCGCTATATGTGTATAATATGTGTGCTATTGAGCGCTATATGTGTATAATATGTGTGCTATTGTGCGCTATATGTGTATATGTGTGCTATTGTGCGCAATATGTGTATAATATGTGTGCTATTGTTTGAAGCGATTTTACCCTTTATTAGTGTTCCTACGAATTATTTCATTGCCATGCCATACATGCAAACTCGTGCATATTATTTTATTACTTATTACTTTTATTACTAACGAAGCATTACATCAGTGTAAAGAACAGTACTGCCGCTGCTGCGTTTTAACGAACATATTGGTGGCAGGACATTGATTTTCCGAATGTCCCGATAGGTCAGTGAAGGTTTATCTTCACATCATTATGTGGGTTAAACTCACAATTGAAAAACCGAGTGCGCTATTATACTGAGGAAATCCTAGATCAGGGGCCGTTTGCAGTTCTCCTTGGAGTCACTGTTTTGGTTTTCGTGGCGTGCACATAAAATATAACATAATATAACATAAAATATAACATAATATAACATAACATATAACATAATATAACATAAAATATAACATAATATAACATATAATATCTGTCCATTATGTGATGCTTACGTTTTCTACGTGGCGGAACGATCATGAATTCACAAATATAGATTGAGATTTTCAACCCGAAGTTTTCTAGCTTGTATATGTAGTTAGTTGCAACGTTAGTTTTGCTTTAGTTTTGCTTTAGTTCTGCTCTGATTTGATCTCTACATTATACACAAAAATAATACATGTATGGTATTTTTTTTTTATGTCCCAGCACTTCTAACAATACGCTAGCCAATATAAGATTTCCAACCTGATGTTACTTCATGGCATCCTTTCTGTTGATTCTCAACCTCTATTCCGAATGACTAGAATGATATCTAGTTATTAATGTTGTCGATGACCTAATGACAAATGGCACATGTGTCGCCAGAATTTATGGTATCGGTGGTGGCGGTCCTCTCCCCCCCCCTCTCTCTCTCTCTCTTTTTCCTCTCCCTCTCTCTCGCGCGCTCTCTTTCTATCTTTCTTTCTCTCGCTCTCCCCCATCTTTTTATCTCATTCAATCTCTTTCTTTACTCTTTCTCTTTTTCGTTCTCTCTCTCCTTCGCCTTCTCCCTCTTCCTATCCCTGTCCCTCTTCTTCTCCCTCCCCTCTATCTCTCATTCCTCTCTCTCTTCCACACTCTTATTCAAACCACCTGTATGACATAGCATCTGCGTTTTATCACGAACGTATCAAGGCCATCGCTTTTACACATGGCGCGTATATGTTTTGGCAAGCATCCTTCAACCGCATGATGATGTTGATGAAGATGCCTTCCGCATCTTTCGCTGCGCCCCGCCACTTCACTTCTCTAGGCAGCATCTTCCTCCTATCTATTTTCCCCGAACTACGCAGCTTCCTGGAAGGCTGGCTTCTTCGCCGCTACGCGCCAGATGCGTACAGCAGCTTCCGTGATCTCGTTCCCAGCATCCCAGCATCCCCGCATCCCTGCATCTCCGCATCCCTACATCTCCGCATCTAAGCATTCCCGCATCTCAGCATCCCAGCATCCCCCCATCCTAGCATCGCAGCATCCGCGCATCGCAGCATCACAAAATCCCCGCATCTCCGCATCCTCGCATCCCCGCATCCCCGCATCCCCGCATCCCCGCATCCCCAGCATCTGGGATTCTGCGCGGTTGACGCCGCGGACATGTGACGTCATCTGTTCATCGCGGTCAACAGGAAATACGCAGGCGCGCACGCACGTGTCCCACATTAGCGGCTGTCGGAACTCCGGCCCCGATTCCCTGCTTTACTTGCGCGTTTTGAGCGCGCAACGGGTTTAGCTGCATCTGTTACAGGGTTTCAACGCCTATTAACCCAGCGATCCACTGACAACGAGAGATCGAGGGCGTGCTGAAAACGCTCGAAAGCGTATAGAATTTAGAAAGTGTGCGTGCGTGCGTGAGTGCGTGCGTGCGTGGTGTGCGGTGTGCGGTGCGTGCGTGCGTGCGTGCGTGCGGCGTGCGTGCGCGGTTTGTCGGCATACATTAGAAAATGAATGCTACGCCGGGAAGAATTGGCGTCATCGTGACGTAGATGCGCGGCGTGCCGGTGCGTGCGCCGCGCACTGCCCTCGGATGAAGTGCATACCAATTAGTTTCAAGTCACATGACCTATTCACCGGCCATCAGTGGGTTTATACAGCCGTCGGGGCGCGGAAAGATCGGAAAAGTGGCGATGCATGACTCTAAAAAAAACTAAAATAAGAAGTTGCGGCCGAACATTTGGCATACAGTAATCTAATCTACACTGTTAACTGTAAGTCTTTTTTTTTTCAATGTCTTGAAAGATCTTCGAAGGTCCGTTCGTACGAATTCGCGGCCACCAAGCGGTGGCAGCGAAACCACGGTGGCTTGGAAGAAACAACCGTTGTATTGATCTTGCTTTCACATTCTTTTTGATCGTTGGCGGTTTTAACAGAAATGTTGTAAAGCTACGAGTTTCTCGATGCATATCGGTTCTACGAGAACACAGGATGAATCGTTAGAGACTAAATGTTTGAGAAAATTGTAACGTTAAGAATAATGTTAGAACACTAATTTTCTTTCTGACAACGGGCCCCTGGCATGCGACTTGGGCATTGGTCGCGCACGCTTTGTAAAAAAGGACGCTGCTTGTTTATTTTATTTATGTAGGAAATGCGTGGGCATTTCGAGGAGTCTGACTGGAACGCTTAGGCTTAGGCCTTAATTTAAGGGCGTGGTCCGCCCTGAAACGGGAAAGGGTAAGTTTTTAATGTTCGTGGATATTTGTGTGTTGTTTGCGTCAAAACACAGTTGGTTGTGTTCAGTTGAAATTGTTTGGCTGGAAAATTGTTTATGTTCAATCTTGATTGATTCGTTCGCCTATAGATTTCTCGAAATTACCATGGTGGCAAGATCGCTTACGATTTCGCTTATTATATACTCCCTTCTACTGCTTTCTCTCTCTCTCTCTCTCGTCGCTCTCTCTCTCTCTCTCGTCTCTCTCTCTCTCCGGTCTCTCTCTCTTCTGTCTCTGACTCTCTCTCTCTACTTTTCTCTCTCTCTCTTCTTTCTCTCTTTCTCTTCCTCTCTCTCGTCTCTCTCTCTCTATATATATATACTCGTATACACAATTCTAATGCTCTTTATATATAATATATTCTCCTGCTCACACTCATTGGAGCAGAGAGCTGCTAAAAATAACGCTTCTCATAATACGCAAATTTGCCAGGAACGCAATAATAAGCAATTACGCTTGAAATTTAAAATCGCGGTGTTGAATCTCAACTCCCATCCCGTCCCTCTCTCTATCTCTATCCTCTTCTTTATCTTGTCTTGTCCTTTTCCATCTCTCTTCTCTCTCTCTCTCATCTCGGTCTCTCTCTCTCTCTCTCTGCTCTCTCTCTCTCCTCATCTATCTATCTAATCTATCTATCTATCTATCTATCTCTCGTGCTCTCTCTCTTTTCTCGTCTTTTTTTTTCTCCTCTCTCTCTCGTGCTCGTCTCTCTCTCGTCTCGATCTCTCTCTATCCTTCTCGTCTCCTAACCTATCTATCTCATTTTCTTTCTCTCTTCTCTCTCCTCTCGTCTCACACCACAGTGCACACTCTCTATCGTCTCTCCTCTCTCTCTCTCACTCTCTCCTCTCTCTCTCTTCTCTCCCGCTCTCTCTACTCTCTCCCTCTTCTTCTCCTCTCTCTCTCTCTTTCGTCTCTCTCTCCGTCTCTTCTTTCTCAGCTCTCAGTCACTCTCTGCTCTCTCTCGCTCCGTCTCTCTATATGCATAACATCTCTATAACTACAGCACAGTTACAACAGCAGTAGCCGCGAGGCATTCCTTACTGACAGGTCGACATGCATCTTTATCAAAAGCTACTGCAATGAATTCCCGTTTTTGCGGCGAAGCAGCGATTTATAACGGAGCCGTAATAAAACGTCCTCGATGTAAGTCCAAAAAAACATCTGTCGGCACTCAAACAGCAGTCAAACAGCGGTCGTGGTTAAGATAATACGACCATCTTATGATAGCCGGCACGAACAGACGCGTATATCCAGTCACAGCACACCACACAAGCCACACACACTGGTGTGACACACACACACACACACACCACCAGCCACACACACACACACACCACGCAACGGCGCGCGCGCGCGCAACGACACACACACAACACAACACACCCACACACAAACACACACACACACACAACAACACACAGACACACGACGCACACAGCACACACACACACACTCACAACACACAGGACCATATATCAATATATATATATATTATATATATATATGTAATCTTTAATAATTAGACAACTATTATTCTTTGGCAACTATTTACGACGCGTCAAAGCATTGTGTATTTACTGCCTACTTCAGACACGAACTTAGAAAAGTTGCGAAAGAGCGCGTGAACTGAAGAATGCTGAGCAGTATACGTTTCCATCCTCCCTCTCACCACGAATGTTTTATGTTCCAATTTTCCCGCGAGTCGGGTCAGAGGATAATTGGGATAGAATCAGGAGAATCGAGGGCACTCACACATACCTCTGAAGTTTGTGCAAGTTTGCAGGCTAGACGGGAAGGCGAGAGGGAACGCGGCACGCAAGTGTAAAATGTTAAAACATTACTCCATGATTTATGAAAAACATTTAATAGTAATAGCAGACAGTTCTAGTCATCATCTAGTAGGTGAGAAAGAATATATATATATATATATTACATCATCGTAACTTCATAAAACCATGTCACCGATAATTCGGTTGCACTCATTATACTAATGAACATATTTTTTGTGATAAAAAGGCCGTTACCTTTATCACCGCGATCGTAGACATAATTGTGTATATTATATATTTCTATACTTTACTGCATTTTTACTGAGTAATAAATGCTGGAGTTTCGGCTACATCTTGACACGTTTACCACCGACGGGCCCTCGGCGAGAGCGTGTAAATGGTGTGGTTTTTTTTTTTTTTTTTTACAGACTCTATTATCTCTATATCTGCTCATTTTCTTTCGTGTAGGTAATACGAAAGCATCGTAAGGGAGTACGTTTCTGGTTTTGTCGACGTGTCTGGTCGCTGCGCATAGCCGTCGCTGTCGCGGTTCTTTACTCATCAGGACTTCATCATTGCATCAGCAGCTTAAAGCGAAACGTGCAGAAAGAACGAAACGAGAATTAAGTGGTACGTACACGCGGCGTGGGGTATACGCATTAATCATCACTAGACAACAATTATAGCTCATAATTGATAGAGATAAAATTATAAATTGGAATTTTGAAGATTAGAATTGTTGTTTTTCATCCGCTGCTTCCATATTATTTCTTTCCTAAATCTTCTTCAAAAATCGCACATGCCTTGTTGTTAAAATGTGCGATATCACACACGATACGGTTTAATCAATTCTAGTGGAAGTGGCACTTGGCCTCACAAAAAATCACTTCTATAGATCACAACGTGATCACTACGAAACACTAATTAGGCGAATATATTTTTTATATACCCCCGTATCTCCTAGATGGCAGCAGCTGAGACGGGCAGACGTTGCCGCTGGTTCCCGCCCGCAAAAGCGAAGACGACAAAATCGCAGAAGAAGACCGCGATCACTGGGCAATCGAGGTAGAGGCGAAAGCATAAATACCGCTGCCGAAAACAAGAAGGCGGCGACCAACAGCAGGGGAGGCCGCCCTAAGATGAAACAAAACAGCGTTTCTCCTCCACTTCCGGAGGAAGACAAACCGGAAACAGCGAACGACGCGTCGCCTCACGGTTGTTGAAAACGT